TGGCCTGCAGATCTTGGACTGCTGGACTGTTCATTGGAAGCGGGACCATTTGCTGGACTGTCAGACACCTGGGGAATCAAAGATGGCACGATCTCCTGCATCATTTCAGCAAAATCTTCATACTGGCTACCATCAGGTCGCAACATAGGATCTTGGGAAGACTTGGACCTATGTCTTATTCTTACGGGACCATATTCACTTGAAGAAATGTGCTTATTGGGTTCCCCAGGCTGTGACAGGTTCGGCTCGGCACGTTCGGGCGTGATCTTGGATCCGGTCGGATCTGGCATGCTTTCATCTTCTGGAACGATTGGCATTGGCTCTTTCTGGGATCGTACGAGCTCTCCTGCTGACATTGCAGACCTACTTACTGCTTCTTGGACAGCGTCATGCGCACACTCAGGTTGTGGTGGATTGTCAAGAGGAACCAGATCTTCAAACTGTGATTTCGGAAACTGGCCTCGTTCCAAAAGGTGTCTGATGCCTAGCAACTCATTTGACTGGGCATCGTCTGCAATGACTCGTTCTTCCGACGAGGCAAGCCGCAGTTGCTCTGGAGCACATCGGATCACGTTCTTCCTATGTGCGACAATCCAGTTGCGACCTATTGTTCCCAACAACATACCAGCCCCACACCATTGACCCCCTTTGATAAGCTTACCCTGAACCCACTTCTGTGACCTCCAATAGTAAACCCAATCTCCAGACTGAAATGGTCTAGATGGTCTAGGACGTGCTCGGAGTGCTGCACGAAGTGCACTGCTATCCTGGCATGCCAACACGGCTTGTCTGGCATTCTGTCGAATTTGGTTGCTACGGGCATACCCATCGTGGAGTGCTATGGCTTCCGAGGCAACAACGTCAGGGTCTTCTTGAAGGAGATCGCTTGGGATTCTGGGATTCCTACCAAAAACCAGTTGGTATGGACTTGTTCCGGTGACATTGATGAGGCTGTTCTTCGCAGTCTGAGTTTGTATGATACATTCTGCAAATTCTTCTTGGGAAGTAGGCGCAACATCAAAAATGACCTTGTCCAATATTTGAGAAAACCAACCCCCATGTCGTTCCACTTTGCCCAGCTGCCAATGCGCATCCCCTGCTGTGGCATGCAAGGTGATGCCTCGTGCCTCACAAAACTCGGACATTGCCTGACTGATATTTGGTTGAGCAGGATCCACACACAAAGCTTTCGGTGGTCCGGCCCATGCGATCCAGCTATCTTGCAAAACCTTCTTGATCAGGTCTGAACTTTCCTTGGTGTAGATAGGGATCACCATTTGAAAACCAGTGCCATAGTCAACAATGTTGATACATGCAACACGCTGATTGATCTTCCATCCACTAACATACTTGACATCCAGTCCAATCTGATCGTTAAAGGCCAGCGGAGATGGCACATTTGCTGGCAACGCAGGGGAGGGTGCACGATGATTCAAACATGTAGTGCACTCTAACGTCTTGGCGCACTCAATTGCTTCCGAGGAAGCTTTGCTATGACGCAGAATCCTGATCAGCTGTTCAGTGGAAGGGTGTCCCAAATTTTGATGAAGTCTCTGCAACGTTCTGAGTAGTGGTGAGTTCTGCTGACTCGGTGGTTCTGCGCTGGGTTCTACTGCTACCGGCACATCCGCATCATGGTCTTCAAGACCTACTGTTTCACCAGCGAGGCATGCAAGTTCGGCTTCAACAAAACGGGCTTCAGCTTCAAGAGGATGAGGTTTATGCAAAAGGGCATCATACATGGTTCGCACAAAACCCTGGGTATATGCCGCACAGTAGTCACTCACTAACTGACCAGTTTTGAGCTTCCCCTCTATCCTACGATGCTGATGCAAACCATCACACGTACGAACATGTTGAGCCAATGAACGAGATGCCATCAAACCAGTTGACTTACGGATCTTCAGCTCAGTCTCTGGGCACTTGAGTCCATGCTGGCACATGTCAGTCTTGATCACTCCATATTTCTTGCACAAGATTTCAAACTCTGGGTCATTCCAGGTGCTTGCACCCCATGGGTGTTCAAACATGAACTCACCGCCCCTTTGAACCTGCTTCTCAATCTGCTGGCGAGAGAACTTCAGTCGGGCTCGATTCTCGTGCAGCAGTTTGGCACGTTCCAGCGGTGTCCTGTAGCATGAATTGAGATGTTCCCAACCCCCAGAGTATGTGCATGGTGGGCAAACGATCAAAAGTTCAGGACAGAGTTCATCCAGGAGGGCATCTACCTTACGTTGTGTCAGTGGGTTCAAGAGATTCCAACCCTGTTTCAGGTCAAAGGCAATGCCTTGTTGGCCACGCTTCTGAGCCTCTAGAGAAAATCTGGGTGGTGAAAACAACTCAGCAACAGCAATCTGAGATTTCTCATGTTGGGCGGTGCTCTTCATTTGGGCAAGAAGGCATCTGCATTCTTTATTCTTCAGGGTGACCTTTCTTCGGTTGGGATTCTTAGGACTACCCACTGAGTTATTAATCTTAGGGTTATCCCCAGGATTACCTACTTCAGGTTTACCTACATCATCAGGCTTAGAGATAGGCACCTGGTCCTCAGCTTTGGGAAAGTCGAGGAGGTTCAGCAGGACTTGACCCGCCGGATTGCAGTGCATCTTCACTTGAACCGCACCATCCAGAACTGTGAGAAGCCCTTCTTTGAAATCCAGGTGCATTCCCAACTTCTGCAACGTAGGCCTACCCAATAGGAGAGGTGCTTGACCTTTGATGATTGCTGCTTCGATCAATCCATTCTTGCCACCAATCCCCACAGGTATCATTGCAGTGACCTCAGATTGCTCAATTGCACCATTGCCAAAACGAAACACATTGGCCTTGGAGATGCGTTGAGCAGGAGGGCGACGGTGTGTCGCGAGCATGGCTTCTACCTGTTCCAGGGTCTGTTCCCCAATCAACGTTTTCCCACATCCAGTGTCCACCACGCCAAAACCTGGCGAGGAAATCAAGCCGGCTGCCAGGCTGTCTTGGACTTCGACCACTTCGGCAGCACCTATGAAGGTGATGTCCGGATCTTCAACTTCCACGTAGCTGACACCAGTTGCATGTTGAGCTGACGAACTTCCAGAAACCTCGTTCCCTGACGGTGCACTGCGGCATTCACGAGCCCAATGACCCAGCTTCCCACAGCGCCTGCAGCGTGTTCTCTTCTTGAGTTCGTCAACTTCGGAGCGAAAGTTTCTCCGGCCGCCAGTTGAAACACCAGAGGAAGAACTCTTGGTGAATCGTCTGGCTTGATTCACCTTGGCAATCTCAGTACGGCGCTCTTTCCAGCTCACGGCCAAAGCCTCTGCAGCCTCGCCCTCAGACAGTTCAATATCCTCTCCAGCGTTGACTTGTGAGTGATCTGCCAGAAAAGACTGAACATCGTCATATCGATCGTCATCCGAGGCCCCCTGAGACAGTGGTTCCTCATCTACAGCTAAAGCTCCGATGGGTTTCTTGGCTCTGGTTCCTGCTTTGTACATCGGGAAACATGACCTGAAGGCCTTGGAGACATCATCAAAATCCAAACTGCCCTGAGTCTTCGCCTTGATGATGGCCTTCTGCTCCTCCGACAAACCTGCGCAGTTCAGAGTGATCCATCCACGTGCTGTGGCGGGAAAATCAGTGTTGGCCCGACGTTTGCACTTGTCAAAAGTCTCGCGAACTCGAGCCGTCCACTGCTTTGCTGTTTCACCCTCTGTTGCAGCTAAAGCGAACACTTCGCCCAGAGCTTCCCCCATCATGTCTGTAGGCTCCTTTTCCGGAAACCGATCATGTAGAACCTTCCACAGCTCGGCATCGCCACCTTCAACTGCTAGACTATCTAGGGTCAGGTGTTCCACTGCTTCCCACGCTGACCCATCCAGCAACGTGTAAATCCAGGGCGCCTTCTGCATCGGAGACAGGTCTTTCATTGTCATCATCTTTGCCAGTGCCCAGCTCTTCCATTGGCGAAGAGCTTTACCTGGGTCTTCCACGTCACCGTGAAACCTCTTCAGGCCACGGTCTCCTGCTTCCGCCATGGCACGTCACCTCACCAGCCCCGGGTGAGGCTCCGCTACCAATGTCAATTGGATAGCATTGCCCCACCCGGGGCCAGTCACGCAGTTGGCTCCTTTTCTCAGCCGAAAGGGTCCTTCGAATGTCAACCTGTGAATGCACTGCCCAGGGATGAAAGTGGTTCATGCAATTAACACATATATGTATGTGTATGTGTTTAATATGTTTATATAATATGTTTATATAATATGTTTATACAATATGTTTATATAATATGTTTATATAATATGTTTATATAATATGTTTATATAATATGTTTATACAATATGTTTATATAATATGTTTATATAATATGTTTATATAATATGTTTATACAATATGTTTATATAATATGTTTATATAATATGTTTATATAATATGTTTGTATAATATGTTTATATAATATGTTTGTATAATATGTTTATATAATATGTATGTATATATGTATGTGTATGTGTATGTGTATGTGTATGTGTATAATATGTAAAACATGTATAATATGTAAAATGTGTAAATATGTGTAATATGTATACTATGTAGAATATGTATACTATGTATAATATGTATAATATGTATAATATGTATAATGTGTATAATATGTATAATGTGTATAATATGTATACTGTGTATAATATGTATAATATGTATAATATGTATAATATGTAAAACATGTATAATATGTAAAATGTGTAAATATGTATAATATGTATACTATGTATAATATGTATAATATGTATAATATGTATAATATGTATAATATGTATAATATGTATAATATGTATAATATGTATAATATGTAAAATATGTATAATATGTATATGTATATATGTATGTGTATGTATATGTATATGTGTATGTATATGTATATGTGTATGCATATATATATATATCATCATATATGTATTACACATACTTTAAAAAATCCTGAAGTCTCCTGACTCAGAATTCTACTTTCAGGTCCAAGGAACGATGATGGAATGAGTGACGCTGTCTGGCTCTATGGCTTCCTCGTCCATGGCTTCCAAGATTTCAAACATCTCCTTGGAAACATCCCATGGCTGACCCAAAAATGGAGGATATCATGGCCCCCTGAAAAAAAAACATCAAAAATCCCATAGTTTATTGGATTCTCATCCTGATAAGATTTGAAAATCACCGGAAATCTCCCAGTTTGGACAAACCCACATAGGACGTTTCCGAATCGTCAAAGGGCTGCCAATAGTGGTCTACCTGATTGTAGGGACCTAGCACGATATGTGCTTTGAGCGAAATGGCCCATGTGATGAGACAACTTCTGGCAGTATTGCCATTGTTTTGCAACAGGCGACACTCGCCTCAGCTGTTCAATAATTTTGCCAACTGCTTACCTCATCTCGTTCATCAAAGCCCAGAGCCCTGTCCTCCATGTTTCCCTGGCGAGCCTCGGAAAGCCAAACATACCGCAACTCTATCGGAAGGGTCATCAAAGATTTGAATCTAGATCTGCCAACATCCGCTTGGCACCCTGGAGCATCCAACTACCCACTCAAACACATTCTGGCCTGGGAATCAAGAATAGAGTTGTAGCCCACCGTGCTCATCTTGAGGCCCTGCTTGCGCATATTTCGCCACAGATCCATTGCTCCTTTGATCAAATTGAAAACTTTCAAAGGCACACGATGCAAAGCGCTAAAACATCAGCAAACCTAAGCCCAGATTCTCTTCGGCCGGTGGCTGCAAGACAGGCCTTTGAAGATGATGGAATACCTTGGGTGAAAACTGCTGCATATTTTTTGAACTGCAACTGCTGTCATTGATCAACGATCAACTCCACAAAATGAATCAGTATATAAACCAAAACAAAAAGGTTCTGACAGTGGAGCTGAGTCACAGAATCACATTCGGGGGATATGACTGCTCAGCAAAAATCTGTTCGGCATCATCCACCAGGCTGTTGCAGACTAAAGCATCTAGCATACAACCAATTACGATATCTGTTGGTTTCAACCCTCTTAGCTCAGTCATCTCCTTCCACATCTGCCAGCACTTCTTTGGACGCTTCAACATTCCGTAGGCTTTGATTAAGGATCCATAGGTTGGAGTTGATGGACTCATCTTTGATGTTTCAAAGCACTCCAGGGTCCATTCAATTCTCTTGAAGTCTTTATTCCGAGCTGACGTCTCGAGCACGATGTTCAAAAGGATCTCATCCTGACACAGTTCCTCGGATGCAAAACACGAGGATTCAAACAGATCATTGCATTTGAATTTGTCTGACAATTATGAGAAAACAGCCTGTTAGTCATCCTTTTCCCTCTTGAATGGCTATTTGGGGGTATCCCCACTCTTCAGACACGCTCAGTAGGATATACTTAGACCATGTCAAATTATTCAAATCTGTTTCTCAACTTCTCAACTAATCAACCAAGTACTACTCGACTACTCCAGCCATCTTGGTTCGGTCTGAGGCGCGACGCCAGAACGACCAAGGAGGTCGAAGCACTTTTGCGCGTGTCCAGGTGGCGTGTCTTTCCTCAGTGTCTTCATCATCGTGGAGACCGTGTAGCGATCGGGAGCAATTCCATGCGATTCCATGGCATGCACCAATTCCCAAGCTTCCGAAAGGTTGCCTGCCTTCACTGCAGCATTGATTAAACAATTGTGGGACACATCATTGGGAGGAACACCTGCTTCGGTCATCTCTTGCTGGAGCCTTCTGGCGGCTTTCATGTCTCCAACATCAAGAAGACCCTTGAATAGGGTGTTGTATGTGATACTGTCCACCATGCCGATCTGCCGCATCTCCTCTGTCAACTCTTTGGCCTTTGTCATATCACCAGCTCGGCAACAAACATCCAGCAGAGAGTTGTAGGCTGCGATGTCAGGAGATATCGTTTTTTTCAGCTGCTCAAAGATTGCAAACGCTCGATCCACACGATGTTCGCTTCCAGCAGCACGAATCATGGTCATGTAGTGCTGAATGTCCAGTTGTGATAGTTGTGATACTTTGGCTGCCAAATCATTCAGCAAGGAAGTACGTCCACACTCCATGGCAAACTTCATAAGACAACCATACCTCGGTTTGTTCCTTGTCAAAGAATCTCGTTCACACACAAATTCCCATGCAAACAGCACAATTGAATACTTGTTTGCTTTCTCTAAAACCTCCAAGATGCATAATTGAATCTGGTTCGATACCATCCTTCTGAATGTCTTCATAGAGGTCGCAAGCTCTCTCATACAAACCGGAAAAAGCGTAAACCTTCATCAAGGCGCTGTAGATGGACAATGTCATCGCCTGAAGCTCCAATTGCTGCTGCAGGTATCCAAGCCAACTTAGCACGTGTCTCCACAAACCAGAAAGCATGGTTTGAATTGCTGTTTTTCCTTGTCGCCTCCCTCACAAGGCTAAGTCACTAAGTCACTACCATACACAATAATCAGCAAAGGCACGTTGGACTTCTGGGCGTACATCATAATCTCCTCTGCAAAGATCAGAAATTTGTTTTTAGCACAGCGGGCCAGCAGCCTCACAACGAACATCTCGCTCCACTCATAGCCTTGGATTCTCCAGATATTTCGCTGAAATCACCACCGAGACATAGCTCTTTTTGGACCGTGTTTGCACATGGTACACTGAGATTCACTGAATAGCTTCAGTTGCGACCTTTCAAACAACCCCTGCAAAACGAACGCTCTGTGTGAGAGAACCCCTAGCAACCTTGTTGTTTTGGTTCTCGTCCGGAGAAAGCTAAGCTCCACTGAATGTCCCACTCTCAGAGAAATCACACCGAGCGTCGTTGACCCGCCTTGAACATCGCAATGGCTTTCTCTTGACATCGAGTCCTTGGTGGGAGATGCCATCCCATCACTGACAAGTCTCCTTGGATCAAAACTTCTGCGTCTTGTTTGGTAGCATTTCTGGAGTGAGAATGCATCTGTGGCCGGGTCAAGTATACAGCAGAATTGCCTCTTTCAGACAAGAGTCATGTAAAACTTGATAAATTCTTCGGCGAGGGGAGGCGGAACTGCCGTGTAGGCTGTTCTCACAGATTTCTCCACCTCGGCGTGCAATCCAAACGTCAAAGTTGACGCATATCAAACTCACAAAGCTCTGGCACATTCTGGCACATTCTGGCACATTCTGGCACCATCCATTCCACACATCCCCGCCTTCTCCACGAAAGCCAGATTTCCAGCTCGACCACCTTCATCCAAGAGAACCATGTACGCCTCAATGGACATTTCCAAGTTCTCCATTGCGTCATCAACAAACTCTTCGCTCCTGCCAGCCTGCAAGCAGCAACGGATCTCGAGAGATGTGAATGGATTTGCCTCAAAATAGGGACCAATAGGGATGCCAAAATTCCATCGTTGATCATCATTTCCCTATTATATAATCCTATTAAAACATATTAAAATGAACATAGGGGGGGTCAATCCCCTATTTTCAGATGCACCCGAATTGCACTACTGCGCAGTAGTTTTCGTGTTGACCTACGTTGCACCTCAGAAGACACTCGGAAAAATTGAGCCATGGCAAACGATGGAATCTCATAGCCACTCTTCCGCATCTCCAACAGCTTCTCAAAAACCTGTCACTGATTCACTGATGTGGCGTTTAAAGAAATCTGCTTCCAAAAGGGTGGGAACATTTTGCGGCAAAATCAACAAAGATCAAGATGCTGGCCTCGTCAACAAAGCGGTTCTTCAAGTAGCCCTTGATGACCAATGAGAAGCCTCGAGCTGACAATCGAAGTCGCTGACGTCTGATGACTCCCTCGTAGTGTTTGACCTTGTCCACTTGACCTGCACTTGCAAAGCCGCCGATGAGCACATCATATAGGCGGTGGCTGTACTTGGCGCCTGGCCGTGATAAAGGGTGTCAAAAAGGGGTGTCAATAGTGTTCATGCAGGTAATGTATCAAACCTGTTTTGTGGAATGAACCTCCACATTATTGGGGTGTTACATTCTGTTTGGCCCATATACATCCATATCCATTTTAGTGTCAATGGAAAACGCAATCCCATCCAAAGGCCGGACCTTTCTCATGCGGCAACTTCTGCCAGAATTCCTCCATCAATGATGTTTCACCCGCGCGAGCCAGCACGTCCAGGACAGGCAGAGCCACAGCCTCCAAGTTACATACATATGTTTTTAGACATATATGTATACACACCTAAAGCGTTTGCATTACATATGTGCAAATAAAAGCGTGAACAAATAATATGTATATCCAGTATGTATATGCAGTATGTATACTGTATACAGTATGTAAATGCAGTATGTATGTACAATATGCATGTACAGTATGTATGTACACTATGTATATGCAGTTTGCAAATCCAGGGTGTATGTACCGTATGCATGTACAGTATTACAGTACTACAGTATTACAGTATTACAGTATTGCAGTATTGCAGTATTCCAGTATTACAGTATTACAGTATTACAGTATTGCAGTATTGCAGTATTGCAGTATTGCAGTATTGCAGTATTGCAGTATTGCAGTATTCCAGTATTACAGTATTACAGTATTACAGTATTACAGTATTACAGTATTACAGTATTACAGTTTTACAGTATTACAGTGTTACAGTATCACAGTATTATTATTACAGTATTACAGTATTACAGTATTACAGTATTACAGTATTACAGTATTACAGTATTACAGCATTACAGTATTACAGTATTACAGTATTACAGTATTACAGTATTACAGTATTACAGTATTACAGTATTACAGTATTATAGTATTACAGTATTACAGTATTACAGTATTACAGTATTACAGTATCAGTACGTAAGTAAATAAGTAAGTAAGTAAGTAAGTGAGTGAGTGAGTGAGTAAGTAAGTAAGTAAGTATATATACAATGTATGTATCTATGTATGTATGTATGTATGTATGTATGTATGTATGTATGTATGTATGTATGTATGTATGTATGTATGTATGTATGTATGTATGTCGCCTTTTGCTCCAAATTTTCCCTTCTCATCTTTATTGTCAGTCCCTCTGAGAATTCCTGTCTCTTAGTGTTTCCTGTCCTTACATGCTTTGTTTTTCGGACTGTGCCTAGTTCGTCACTTTCCGCCCTTTTTTTTAAATAAATATACGGTGTGCAGTGTGCAGCCTAGGACAAACGGTTCTTGGAGAATTAATTTGGTTTCTATCATTGCCAATTGTCCAACTGATTTGTCCTGGACACTTATGATGCTCCCAGACTCCCAGCCTTCCAGTGCCACTGAGGCTGCCAGTGCCTCTTCAAATGTGACGCTATCTCCTGGCAAATGCCCCAACTAGATTGTTTCCTCCCCACAACATGCTGCGTCCTTGGCAAGAGCATCCGGATCCACTTCAAGGAATGCTCGTGCGACTGGTCTCAAGACGTCCTGGTGTCAGCAACGTTGACAAGATACATTTCCAACCAACATGGTTTTGTCTGTCGGCAGAGACAAGTCTGAAGCGGCCTTTGGTGTCAAGGCATCATCGTGTTCTTTTCGCCAGGCCTGGTCAAAATTGACTGCCAGAAAGTTCCTGTAAAACACGTCGAAAAAAATGGTGGCCAAAGGTATGTTCCCATGTTTTTTTGGCGCCTTCAAGACATTCAGCCAATTCTCAGCTGTTGCCTTCCGCAACTTGGGGCAAATCTGAATTTCGCAAAATCTGAAGCAATATGTGACTCCCTTGGGAACAATGCACAAGCTGAAAATAACCCGAGCACCCAAGAATTTGTGAACTGCATGTAATAAAAACTCCAAGAACTACATTTGTCCAAGTGTAGAGTTGAGCAATTTAGATGCAACTGAAAACATGACACGGCCTCCTCTTCAATTTTGGTCCGCAACTTCTCGCTGAAGTCCGGGAACGGTTTTTGGGCGATGGGATAATTGATTTTTTTTGATTTGACGGCTCCAAATTTTCCCAACCGCCCAGTTCGAAGAAGCAGGAATCCTGCAAGCACATGCTATGATCAAAGCACTTGCTATGTGAAAGAAACTGCAAGTACCAGCCTCATGTTGCAGCCAAGCTACCCAATAAAAAGAATACAGTAAATACAATTTCGGTCCAATGAGGAAACATGTCACCCGAAATTGTGAGCACGTGGGCCATCTCAACGTGAATCAGATGAAGTCGGTAAGCTCAAGATGTATCAAGAACGTAAAGTTGAACTTCTCCCACAACAGATGTGAGAACCTCATGCGTCGACTGTGCAAGACGGGATGATTTTGTGCAACATAAAGCAAATCATGTTCGGCCACGCAGTTGTTTGGTATAAAAATACTACATAATTATGCATGTTTATGCACACTGTTGCAAATACAGACATGAACATGTGTCAATGTAATATGTATGTGTCTCTGTATACATAAATCACTAATGTATACGCATACACATGTGCATGTTTGTATGTGTATACACCGAATATACCCATTCCATTTGACAGTTTCAAAACCTGCAATCGAGCATCCGTTTTTGCTGACGTACTGATCAGACCAAATTTGAATGCTGATGACCGCAAAGTCACACTTTGAGCCATCAAACACACACCAAAAAACAACAATACATACACACAACCATGCCAAAACAAGTTTGCAATTATCTTTGTTTGCATTCAATTTGGGAAAAAATACCATCAAAATGCCAAAACAAACAAACAAACAAACAAACAAAATAAACAAACAAAACAAACAAACAAACAAATGCCAACAATGGAAACACTGTACCATTTTGTACCTAACAACGTCCACACATTTGTGTCCGAAAACATGTTTTATGATAAATATATATATATATGTGCAATATGCACAAGTATATGTTGATTGGTTTTACATGTAAATAGTTTCCTCTCGTATGACATTTTTTGTATGGTTACACGTGTGAATATTCATATTTATTACGATCTACTGGTGTCAATATAAACATGTATAAGATGATGCGCACTTGCAGTGTTAAGAAAACGTTGCATATTGATATATTGATTTAATAGGTACGTTTCTGGAGTATAGACATATTTATATACCAGTGTTTTGACGTATGATATTGCATGATTGAAATAGGGATACGCTGAGTTATTTCAATATTTTTTATCGCAATATGCATGATTCACATATCAATAAAGGGTCAGAATGTTGAACATGTGTGCCTTGCAAAATATATAAATATATTTTTTGTACCATATATTTTTTGAAAAAAAACTATATATATATATATTCAGACATTTGTATATGTCCATATGTTTGCAAATTGTTCATTCATATACCTGTATTTTTGATTTGTTCAAAACACATTTTCCTCGCGGCATGTTATAAATATAATTGTATACTCGTCCGGTTTTTTAATTCAATATTACTCATTTTCATATTCCTGCGTCCATGAACAAAGTACATATGCAAAATATGACCATATTGGACTATATATATATATATATAAATACATATATATATATATATAAATACATACATATATATATATATATATATTTTTTTCTTTATTTATTATGTTTGTACATGTGCATTTTTCGTTCATAGGTTGTCATGTCTTTGGGAAGGAAAAATTAACATTTTTCCCGAGAGCGTCTGAGCGCAGGGTTCTTCTAATAGTGGGGGTCTGTGAAACATTTTCTCATCTTAACATCCTCACATGTTCTCATCTTCACATCTTCACATCCTCACATCTTCTCATCTTCATCTTCACATCCTCACATCTTCACATCTACTCATCTTCACATCTTCACATCCTCACATCTTCACATCCTCACAGCTTCTCATCTTCACATATTTTCACATCTTCTCATCTTCACATCTTCACATCTGTTCATCTTCACATCTTCTCATCTTCATCTTCACATCCTCACATCTTCACATCTTCACATCTGCTCATCTTCACATCTTCACATCCTCACATCTTCACATCCTCACAGCTTCTCATCTTCACATATCTTCACATCTTCTCGTCTTCACATCCTCACATCTTCACATCTGTTCATCTTCACATCTTCATCTTCACATCCTCACATCTTCACATCTGTTCATCTTCACATCTTCTTCTCCTCACATCTTCACATCTTCTCATCTTCACATCCTCACATCTTGCCCTCTTGCTCTCTTGCCCTCTTGCTCTCTTGCCCTCTTGCTCTCTTGCCCTCTTGCTCTCTCCTTCTTTTCTATTTCTCTCTGGAAGGCGCGGGGAAGTGCCAACGAGACAGCACGAAATGCAACCCTTTCGCACGAAATGACGTTCGATCGCCAAAAACTGAGGTAAAATTGTGATTTCTCGCGTCCGGGCGCAACCATTTCGCACGAAAAGAGGTTCGATCGCCAAAAACTGAGGTAAACTTGCGAGTTGCAAAGCCTCCGGCGCAACCCTTTCGCACGAAATGAGGTTTGATCCCCAAAAACTGAAGTAAAATTGCGAGTTGCAAAGCGTCCGGCGCAACCCTTTCGCACGAAATGAGGTTCGATCACCAAAAACTGAAGTAAAAAAATTGCGATTTCCGACGATTTCCCGTCGCAACCTTTTCGCACAAAATGATGTTTGATCACGAAAACCTGAGGTAAAATTGCGATTTGACGGGTCCGGCCTCTGTGCCTAAAAGTGTTTGTGTGTAAAAGCAAGGAAGCCGGCCACCTGCGCGAAAACCCACAAACTCCGCAACTTTCTTTTCCGTCCAACGCCTTCATGGCTTCCGCCAGGTCGTTACACACGTTCAATCGCAGCAAAAAGATAAATTGTTATCATGCAAGGCTGTCTACTTGTCGATAGCCACAAAAGTACTGGTAGTGGACCTGTACGCAGTCCAGTGAGCTGTAACCCACAAACCCACAAAGTCCGCAACGCCAAGAAACACCTCAAGCAATCACCTAAGGGCTGCAAAAGGCTGATGAGCCTTCTTTCAGCGGCAAACAATCAAGCCACCAGACGCAACGAAATAATAAGAAGCTAACGACAAGTGGGTTCAAGCAGCAACCGATATGCACCCGCTTGCCCCAACAAGAAACAAAACCATCTACAAAACAGCTTGCTCCGACGGACCCAATTCTGGGTCCGGAACACCTTCTCAAAACCGGCTTCGCTCAAAAAGGCCTCCCTAGTACTATTGGATGCCTGCCGTCAGGATTGTACAAAGCGCGCAATGGACAGATTGTGGCGCAGACCGGCCATGACCAGGATATCATACCTCTGTCAGGATGTACTTCTTCGATGGATGGCGAGTACACCCAACGCTGCCAATCCCCAGCAACCTACCACGCACCAAAGAAGCGCCAGTCAGAGATATCACTTACGCCGCACCCTCAGCCAGTACGGAACCAACCCGGTCGCCAGAAGAAGAAGCGAGAGACATCCTAGCGACAGCCGCCAAGAATCAGGCGGAAGACGGGCCAAATGCAAGGCGGGCAGCTGTCCGCGCATGTAAGTACCTCAGGGCCATGGTCAATGGTTCCACCATACAAGAAGTGCATAAAGCGGCCCGCATCCACACGCAAATGAGCAAGGGCACAGCAGGGCCGACCTTTTTTTTCCGTCCAACGCCTTCATGGCTTCCGCCAGGTCGTTACACACATTCAATCGCGGCAAACAGGTGAATTGGAGTTTACATGCAGGGCTGTCAATTTGTCGAAAGCCACAAAAGTGCCGGTTGTGGACCAGTTACGCAGTCCAGAAACTGTCCCAGCAAGAGAAGGGCACAGCAGGGCCGACCGCGCAATATCGCCCACAAGGAGGAGAACTCCATGTAATATTTCCGGAACTGACGCTATTACACTGCCTATCCACGCTACCCGACCCATGGCCCCTGGCCAAGATCACCATAGATTGGAGAAACCAAGCCAGTGGGTTTCCAAATGCCGGCTCTACTTTGCTGACGAATATCAGACGCACAGTAGGAATACCCTCGGTAACACAAGTCCCAGACATCGAAACAGCACTTTAGACGGTCCAGAAAATCCTCCCAAAGCTTGAGGCAAGAATGATTGAATTCTTAGCTGAATGGCTGGTCACCTTCTTGATCCAGCAATGCACGTATTGAAAGTGAGGGCACCTCATCTTTCCTTTATGTTCCTCAAAGAATACTGGTTTCGAGAACTATATCTCGGCTTAAAAGTCACGGCATCGTTTGACCGCTCTGAATCGTACACGCGAGTCTGTGATCTCTGGGATCCTGGCTGGGGGGATCCCAGGTTTCCGCAGTGAGCTTTGTTGCTTCTTTCACCCTCTTGCATGGCCCTTTGTGTTTTTCCGTGTTGTCCGTGTTTTGTTTTCTTTTTCGGTGGCCATACTCATGATGACACACAATGTTATCGAAAAACAATAGCCAACTCAGCAGGAGGAACATCACAAGTAGCAATCGTGGCCCAGCCCAGTATTGGATTCCTGAACACAAAGTATTACTCCAATGGCTCCCCCACGGAGGATACGGAAGACTACCTTGGCCGAATCACGGTCGGACTCACCCGCTCAAAATCCTTGACCCTTTTGGTTTCCCCGCTCGACATGATGGGGCTCATGGGCATGGCTCAAGTGGTCGCGACCATAGCATATGGCATCCGGGGTCTTCGAAGAGGAGAGACGACATGGAACTGGCCCGAATTCGATGCCGACCCCGAACAGGAGAATCTTGCACAGATAACTAGATGGTCTTTGAATTCCACACCCTCATGGGAATTCCCTCCCCTCGCAATCGCCAACCAATACCAGGACCAGCAAACCAACGAGGTGAAGCGAGCAAGATACCGCCTGATATTAGTTCGAGGGTCGGATCTACGCTGGCTGACCAGAGACCGCTTTCAAGAAGTCAAAACAGGCCTCGCAGCACAACATAAATGGCTTCCTGTCCAGGCTCTCCCTTTCAGGGAAGTTGTCCTGTACGCCTATGCAGCCGATCATACGCACTTTCCCACATATGTCTGCCTGCCTTCAGGACTGTACAAAGCGCGCACCGGGCAAGTGGTGGCGCAGACCGGCCCAGAACAGGAAATCCTGCCTTTGCCAGGCATCTACTTCTTTGATGGATGGCGGGTACACCCAACGCTACCAATCCCCGGCCACCTGCCACGCACCCAAGAGGCACCAGTCCAAGATATCGCTCTGACTGCACCTGCACCTGGTACAGAACCCACTCGGTCGCCGGAAGAAGAAGCGAGAGACATCCTGGCGACAGCTGCTAAGAATCAGGCCGAAGATGGGCCAAACACAAGGAGGGCAGCAGTCCGTGCATGCAAGTACTTAAGAGCTATGGTCAACCAATATGAGTCCACCATAGAAGAAGTACACAAGGCGGCCCGCACTCACACACAAATGAGCAAGGGCACAGCAGGGGCACCTGTAGATTATCGACCACAAGGAGGGGCTCTCCCAGTTATATCCCCAGAACTTACTTCAGAGTTACTGCATTGTCTGTCCACGCTACCCGACCCATGGCCCCTGGCCAAAATCGCCATTGATATGGAGAAACCTAGCCAGTGGGTTTCCAAATTGTGCCGGCTCTACTTTGCTGATGAATATGCCAGGCGAACAGTCGGGC